CGTTTAGAGCTCTTGTACATAGAGTCACTATGAGTTCCAAGTGACTCGATGGCACATAACAACAACAACAACATTGTCAATTTGAGGACTAAGGTATGTCTGATTCAGGCCATGGTCTTTCTGATCACTTGCTCTGTGCTATGCATCTGAGAGCTGGTCAATGAATAAGGGTGGCAAAAGAATGGATGCCTTTGAGCTGTGGTGTTGGAGAAGAGCACTGAACATCCATGGATGGCCAAAAGAACAAACAAGTGTTTCATGGAGAGGGTGCAGTTGGAGTGCTCTTTGGAGGCAAGAATGATGAAGCTTCACCTCACATACTTTGGGCATTTTGCTAGGAGGGGCTGTTCCTTCGCGAGGGACATGACCTTGGAAGGATGAAGGATTCGTGAAGAAGGCAAAGACCCTCAACCAGGTGGATTGATGCGGTTACTGCTGCAATGGGCTCTAGTGGGTCAGGAAGTGTTAAGATGGCCAGGATAGGACAGAGTTCAGAGCTATTATTCACAGTGTTACTATGAGTCATACTCAACTCAACAGCAACTTACCACAAGCAGCAACATACAAAACGATTCCATTTTTGGCATTAGGTATAAAGCTGGCAGTAACAAATACTGAGGTGCCTGTGATGGTTGAGGTTATGTGTCATCTTGACTGAGCTATGGTTCTCAGTACTTTTGCAGTTAGTGTAATGATGTAATCTGGTGGTTGTACAGCAGTAAAATAATTTTCAAAACAGATGCTCTGCCGGGGGTCCAGTCAGATCTGATTTGACGGTACACTCACACAAAAATAATAAAATAAAAAAAATTAATTTTCACGTAACACCAATTTTTCCTATTGTTACCTGGTCTTTGGAAGTTAGCCATGTCAGTAATAAGCCCTCGACCCTTCTGGAAACATGCAATAACATTTGGCCACAGATGAAAATTTTTAAGGAAGGTTTCCTGAGGTCTCTTCTGCACTAAGACGATACAACTTCTACCTTCACCTGACTTTGTGTGTAATAATCTCTCCTTAGTTATTTTTCACTGAACACTTCCTGGAACCATCAGAAGACAATTTCCCACCCATCTTTCTCCCCTTCTTTTGGTGTTGGGCCATCTGCTGGGCTTCAAAGAAACCAAACAGGATAATAACAATAGTTGAAGGAAGTGGTGGGAAAAAGAGAAGATGTATCACTTTTGATTTTACAACGAGTGGGATTGAAGGTCAAAATTCAATCTATGGTATGTTATATCCCTTCAGAAACACCTGTTCTCTTTATTACACATGCATTTGTGGTGAAGTAGAAGCTCATATAAATAGATAAATATATGTAAAGGGCTAGGGAATTTTTTTTTCCTGGGGCCTCGTTCATGCTTGTTGAACTCTAAAGTTTTCTTTCTGACCTCTTTACTCCATCCTGATGTCTTAGATATTATTTCAATTCTCCCATCATGCTTTAGACCTGGATTCCAATGCCTCTTCTCCTTACACACCTCCTTCAATACCCAAGCTATTATTATCTATATCCTTTCATCTCCTGGCTTTCTGTCCCTGTAAAATGGCACACTAAACATGATCTAGTTTATGTATTTTTCAGGCCAAGGGCCTACCTGCATTTTCCTCACTAAACTGAAGTCCCAATGAAGTAGAGACTTTATACTGCATATAAAGACACTGACCTGGCTAAATAATCTAAAATTTGCCTGCATTTATATTTGTAATGTGCATGTTCATATATTTTGTACCAAAAAAAAAAAGTACAGGAGATTGCAAGTTTCCGGTTACCAGATCGAATGACAACTCCTACTTATGTTGGATCCAGTAATGGAAGTACGGTTATCTTTGTGAATGATAAACATCTATTCCTCTACACCATTGATGGCAACATGTTATATGATTTTCAAGACCATAAGGATAAAATCTGCCACTTATGGGTGGTATGTGTGATATTTCTTCCCTCTCTGCTTTTTTATCCAAGTTTGACTTTACTGGTCATTCACTCCTAAATGTTCTTTGAAGGATCCTGTCCGTGCCCTCACCACATCCATGGATCATTCTGTGAATATCTACTTGTGGCAGAAGGATGATCACTTTCCCTACCTCACGCACTGTTGTACTCTGAAATGTGGGCCAATTGGTGTTACATCACGGTGGTAAGGTTTGGTTTGTGATTTAAATTTTCCTTGAAAATTCTTTGTATTTCCCTGTAAAAATGAAGGGATGGGGTGGTTTTCAAGACTCTTTACTGGTTTATAGAAGTATAAAGTCTTAGAGAATTGCTGGCACTAGGAAATACCTATTTCAATAAATGCAAATTTTTTTTAATCCTTTTTAAAATATTTTTTTACTGTTACACATTTTCTTATCCCCTCCCCCACATGAATTTGTTTTGGAAAAATAGGATCACTTTGGGGTCATCAGCAATAGACATTCCTACTTCTTTTATGCCCACCTGTAATACTTATTTGGGTTTTGGTTGTTTTTTCTCTTTTTCTTGACAGCTTTGCCACCAAGACAATGTGTGATAATAGGACCCTAGTATCTCTGGTAGCAAGAAACAATTACTCTAGCAATCTGCTGGTGTACTCTTTGAGATAGCTAAGTGGAAATAAAAAGAATTTTGTATCATCTCTCTGTCTATAATAAAAAAATTCTATTTGCAAGTATAAAATAATTTGTTTTCTTAAAAAGTAGTGATTCAATTTGTACAGTGAATCATATCTTATGTCAGATTCTATGAGTTAGGCCCTGTGCAGATACAGGAGAGGGCAATAAATCATTGCTCTCTGTTGCTGTTGTTGTTAAGTGTCATCTAGTCAAGGGTGACTCATAGTGACCCTATGAACAAAAGACATGAACGCTGTTGTATAATTATCATCTTTTCTAAATTTGCCAGTCTCTACTATCAAAAGAATAAAATACTGTAAGTGCATTACAAATGATCACACAAACATACAATCACAATCAAGGAGAGTGTTTTTTGCAGAAAATACTAATTTAAATTAAAGCAGATTTAAGTTTCATGATCTGTATGCACATCCGTGTTTATTGCAGCATTATTCACAATAGCAAAGAGAGCGAAGCAACCTAAGTGCCCATCAACAAAGAAATGGATAGAAAAAATATGTTATATTCACACAATGGGATATTACCCAGCAATGAAAATTAATTAACTCAAACATTACACAACATGGATCACACGGGAGGACAACATGCTCAGTGAAATATCAGTCATAAGGGAGCTCTGATGGTCTAGGGGCAAGAAGCTGCACTGCAATCCCAAAGGCGTGCAGTTTGAATCCACCAGATGCTCTGCTGATGGAGGAGGGGCAATCTCCTCCTGTGCCAGTCAGATCCAACACGACAGTACACAACAAGGAAGAAAAAAATACCACTTCATTAGAACGAATTAAAAAGGAAAAAAATAACAAAAGAACAAATATGCATAATATCACTGTTACAAAGCAGGACTGACATGGGAGTGTTGGAATGAGAATAGGAGAAGAATACATAGATAAGGGACACTGCATTGGAACAGATAAAGAGCTGTTTAAAAGGAATACATGATTAGGCATTATACATATGTATGACAACAGTCCAGAATAAAAGGTATATTGCAAAGTGGACTGGTGAGGGGGGAAGAAGGAGGAAAATGTGCAACAATAAATGAATAATTTTTAAAAAGTGACCTGGGAAGGGGGAAGAAAGGGAGAGGGAACAAAATGTGCAATAATGAATGAATAAAAATCCACTTTTTTCTGTAAACATCATTAAAATCAACAAAACACAATATTTTATTTAAAAAGTTTCAGATCTTGCCCATAAGCAAACAAAAATCAATTCTACAGAGTATAAGGAAAAAAATTATTGGAAAAAGAGGAAAATACTTAGGGAGAGCTAGGATATATTAAGAAGAAAAAATAGATGGAAGTTTAAAAATCTCATGAGGACTGTTGTTTACCGTAGAGTCAAAACCGACCTATAGCTGACACTCCAACAACCTCCTGCGAGTTTTCAGAGGCAGTTAATTGCATGGGAGGAGATTGCCCATCCTCCTTCTGTGGAGCAGATGTGGCCTCAAACCATCTGTCTTTGGGACTGCAGAGCAGCTTCTAGCCACTAGACCACAAGAGCTCCCCTTATGAGGACTAGCAAATAGAAAAACTATACACCTGTGACCATTTCTATCTCACTGAATAGTGATATGATAAAAAACTGTCTCTTTATTCCTGGGTCATTATTCCAGGAGTCAGCGTTTTTGGAGAGACTAGGTCAAGTCCAAGAAATAGATTAGATCTACCCACTTGCCTCTGGAAGCTTGGAAGAAAGTTGAAAGGCAGAGGAAGTTTACATGTTCATAGGAAAATGGCCATCTCATCTGAAGATTCCTCTGTAGGGCAGAGGAAGTTTCTAGTCTGATTAAGTGACCACTATCATTTTTTATTATTAATTTCAATGAAAATTTACAGACTTTGGATTTCCATTCATTCATTGTTGCATTTTTCTCCCCACCCAAACCTCCACACACCCCACCTCCACCCCCAGTACACTCCCCTCTTGGAAAAGTAAAAGAAAAATTCTTTCATTGTTTTACAATCCCTCCCCCCAGGTCCACTCCACTATGCAGCCTTTGCTGTGGACTCCCGTCATGACAAATATACCTAATCACATACCCCTTTTAAACAGTTTTATCCCTCATCTGTTTCAATGCAGTATGCATTATTGAACCCATCTGTCTCAGTCTCCCCTCAGCCCCGAGGTCAGTCCTGTTTTATAATAGTGGCACCATGCAGTATTTGTCCTTTTGTGACTGAGATACTTTACTCAGCATAATGTCCTCCACAGGGTCACCCATTTTGAATAATATTTCATGAGTTCCTTGTTTTTCAAAGCAACATAGTATTCCATTGTGTGAATATATCACAGTTTGTCTACCCATTCGTTTGTTGATGGGCACTTTTTATGTTTTGTGTTGTTTCCTTGTTATTGTGAATAAAGCTGCGATAAACATGGGTGTGCCTGTATCTGCTTGGGTATTAGTTATGGTCTCTTTGGGGTATATTCCCAGTAGTGGAATTGCTGGGTCAAATGGTATCTCTGTAAGTTTTTGAGAAAGTGCCACACTGCCTTCCACAGTGGTTGCACCATTTTACACTTCCACCAACAGCGAATAAGGGTTCCAGTTTCTCCACAACCTCGCCAGCATTTGTTGCTTGTTGTTTTGTTAAATTTTGCTATTTCTTACTGGGGTAAGATGATATCTCTGCGTTGTATTGGACCACCATTTTTTACCTGTCGATATAAAGTTGTTCCCAGAAAGCAGCCCAGTGAATGGTCTGTGAAGCAGTGCGTTGTAGGTAGAGAAAGCATCCTGCATTATCAGTGGTACTTGGTACTATTATCAGGCAAAGTCTATGACAATCAAGTGTCTTTTTTTTTAATTTTTATTGTATTATTTTTATATGTACCATCAAATCAGATCTGACTGGTACAGGAAGAGATTGCCCCCTCCTTCTCCAGCAGAGTCAAGTGTCTTTTTTATGTCAGAAACAGAAACTTGGCTAAATGAAGTTGGTGCTGAGGTGTGTATGCTAAGAAGAGGGAGAAAAGGCATGCAAATATTTGTAGACTATATCCTACAACACATACTAGTTTCAACGGTAAGGTTTTAAATGGTGGTGTTTGGGTATTTTTATATAATTTATCACTTCTCTTATTCCCTTCCAAAAAAAAAAACCCTGCTTTTCCCCCATTTCACACTTGTTTTAAAAATATTCTTTATGTTGCCACTAGAAATGGATTTAAAAATGGTCTGAGTGGCTGAGGACAGCTAGTTAAGTCATTGTGTTGGTTACTGATAATACATCTTGGTAGGTGCAGTAGGGTATGACTCATTGCTAGTTTATGAACAGTAGATTTGAACTTGTCCTATCTTGTACCATCCTTATCATTTCTGACCTACTTGAGTTCATTGCAGCAATCACTGTGTCAATCCATTTTGTTGAAGGTCTTCCTCTCTTTGTCTGACCCTCCACCTTTCCAAAAATGATGCGTCTTTCCAAGGAATAGCCTCTTGTAACAACACACCCAAAATGTGAGACAAAGTTTGTCTTAAAAAGTCTATATTGGTAATAATCTATAGATAATAAAATTATAACATGATAAAGTCAAATGTGGCAGTGAATTTGGATTGTGCAGATGAGATGAAGGAAGAAATGCACAAAATTATGCACACAAGTAATTCATTAAAAGAAACAATAGAGGATTCCATGCATCTGATTTCCCAATAACTTGGAGGTAGCATTGAATTGCTGTTACATTTCCTTTTCCAGATACATAATGGCCAGATATGCAAGGAAAATTGCTGTCAAGAGCAAGGTAGCTGAAACAGAAGAAACACACTCTAAGTCAGAAAAATCACTATTCTTTGAACCTTAAAGA